ATTATAATCATTATCAGAAAGTGTCATTTTAAAAACTCTGACAGGTGTCAATCATATATAAATATAGGATATATCAATGTATATATATATTTCCCCAGAGAATGGCAAAGATTGATTTTTTTCATACTAATGAAATATTTGAAATACAGTCATTGACTAGTTTGCAGTAGAGAGAAATATATTTGGTCCTTGCTTTCTTATCTGGCAGAATGGTAAATACTTTAGTGTAAGTATCTCTAGAATCTTCTAGTACATGGAAAGCTTATGTCAGGCCCAGACTAGACATCACTGCACCTACCTCTGCATCACCATAATAACTGAAATCATTCATGGAGAGTCAGCTTGAAGCAGCCTAGCGGAATCAGTGCGTCAGTTGTAAGTGTAATGCAGACAGTTAAACGCCTGGATCTTCCCCTGCAGGGGTTTTAGGCTTCCTTAAATTTTAATAGTAACGTGTGTACCTGCCAGGGAATGTTTGTGACATTGCTCGTTCTGCCTTAGGAATGGAAGTGATTCTCCTACACTTCCTGAGTGTCAACCTGATGGGAAATTGGATTTCTAATCTCTTCATTTGTTTTTCCTTTAATAAAAAAAAAGCTGCTTAACTTTTTTTATACATCAAATTCTAAATTATCACACATTTCTTTTAATTACACAGATAATAAATAACTGTTCATATAAACCACAACAAAAATAAAGTGAGAAAATATGTCAAAACAAAACTATCAGTCCACTTCTGTCAGCTCTCCTTTTTTTTTCTTTTTTTCAAGACAGAGTTTCTCTGTAGCTTTGGTTCCTGTCCTTTAACTCACTCTTCTAGACCAGGCTGGTCTCGAACTCACAGAGTTCTGCCCGGTTCTGCCTCCCGAGGGCTGGGATTCATGTCTGCTCCACTTTTGAGCATGTCATTTAATGTGGACTCCATTTCTTTTCTCCTCCTCTTCCAAAGAAGCATCACTCTAGACATGGGAACACAGTAAAATCTTCTTGTGCAAGACGAAGACTTTCCAGAGGGTCTTTTTGTCTACATCCTTGCTAGCCTTTTGTTGTTACGAAATTATATTTATTCTTCACAAATAGAGAGAATTCTGTAGCTGTAGGATTTCCCCTACGCCCTTCCCACCTGAGAGCAATGGATTTATGATAGATAAGATGACTTTCCTACCCTTGTGTCGCAACCCCTGTGGCATCGCATATCAGCTGTTTACGTTATGATTCATAGCCGTAGAAAAGCTGCAGTTATGAAGAAGCAATGAATTCACTTTATGGTTGGGAATCACCACACCATGAGGAACTCTATTAAAGGGTCGCAGCAGAATTAGTTGATCTTATGGTTTTAATTTATGGTTTCATTCATTGGTTTAATAATTATTGGCTGAGACCTTATTGAGTATTAGATATTTTAAAGTCTAGTATGAAGATATGTTAAGACCCCAAACACACGTTTCTCTGTTACTTCTATTCTGAATCTTGTGTATGAGCAATGAAAGCACCTGTCGGGTACGGATGCTGTGGTGACATAAGAAGAGTTGCAGCCCTGGAGACAGAAGCATCTTTAACATTTAAGCATCTTTAACATTTGAGCATCTTTAACATTTGAGCAAAATGATGGGAAGTGGAAAGACACCCTGCAGCAGGTTGGAGAAGATGACCCAGTTACCTCCACTGCATGCGTGTCTGCAACACTGTCGCTGAAGATCAGTCCTTCCTGCTGCACCTCAATTCTGAGTATTGTGAAGTGTTTAGACCAGTCACCTCTGTAGTCATAGGACTTCCGGCCGCGATAACTATGCATTGGTGTACTATGTCACCGGTTGTACTTGGCATGTAAAAATAACCTAAGGCACATTCTTATTGAGTTCACTTAGATTTCTACAGAAGTCAACTAACAAATTTTGAGGCACTTTTTGCATTAATTGATAAAATTCACTCAAAGGAAATAAGTTGTATACACTGTGTATGAGTATATATATATATATATATATATATATATATATGAACAGTATAAAATATAATCGTGATGAACTTATAATATCACAATGTTGATTACAATGGAAGTTGCACCACAACATCAAGATTGGTGGTGGTATAATTTTATTTACCTCTTGGGAATCAATGGAACTATCGATCCATAGCAAATACGTCTTCAGTGCGATCATAGCAAGACATGTTTGACAGCAACTTCAAATTGCCAGAGCTTATTACGTATTTAAAATCTAGTCAGCTGACTTCCTATGTTTCTTATGCACTGAATAAATCTGCGAGTGTTTTTGCAGGGAAATATTGCCAGTGTTGTCTGATCACAACGTACCGCATCACCTCCCCCAGCGCCTCCCTGATGGTCAAAGACGCTGGGACTCTCAGGGCTTCTACGTCTATTAAGTGGGGTTAGAATCCTGCGTGCAGAGGTTAACAGGCTTCCTGTGTGTGTGCTGCGATGTATCTGCCCTAATTATCAATTACTGCACCGATAGAAAGAACTTGGCTGCGGAGGCATTGTTCCCCAGCTGTTCACATTGCCGCTCAGAGTGTCTCTTATGGCTAAGGCTGGGCATGCTCCTGGGAAGCAGGGTGGGACTGTTCCCTAGGAAAACAACTTCATTAAAAAAAAAAAAAATAAACCGTGGCTAATTTTTCACTTACATGAAGCTAAAATGCACACTTTGACTTGAATATTTGTAGAATTTCAAGATCAACAATGGAAAAAAAATTGTGAAAATATAGTGATTTAAATGTGCTAAATGAACCATTGGTCCCAGTCAGGTTTTCATAACTCACCAGCTTTTAACTTCAAAACTCTGACTAGCTTGCGTTTCTTAAACTCGTGAGTTTATCCCAGCTTGTGGGACAGTAGTCAGGGTATACCAGCTGTAAATTGGTCCAGAGCACTAGAAGGGACATTAGCCCCTAATCAGATTCTAACAGTTCATTAAACCTCCCTTTCCTGTAGCTCCCTGTCCCCTCCTGGCTTGACCCAGGCTTCCTCTCACCTCCTCATCTGGGCAAGACCTGCTCCAGGGTGGGAAGCAGTGCCTGCTCACCCCTCACTGTCTACCTACCCAGCAGCCTTGGGAGGCTTTGTGAAGGGAAATTCCCAGAGCTCACTGTCTGAGATGTGGAGAGCCACCTAGTTGCAGCGAGACTTCCCCCAGAGCCACTGTAGCAAACGGGACAAGTGACAAGTCTGAGAATGGTGCCTCACTTGTGCGTTAACAATCTCAGGCCTTGGAGAAGAGATTTTAAGTCTGGAGGAAGTTAATTGAGTTTACCAGCAACACTTGGCAATATTGTAGCTGCTCTTGTCGGGATCTGTTAAGATGAGAAATACCCCCCACCAATACGGACAATGTTGTTCATTTCCAAGGGGAAGATAAGACAGGAATTTGTAATAGTCTAGGGAATGTGAACTTTTCAATGCTTCTTATGACTAATTATGAAAAATAGTGTATGATTTTTTTTCTTGTTGATTTCTCAGAAAAGATTTGCATAAGAGAGGACCTCTAAGTTCTACTTCTTAGAGGCTCTCCCAGAGAGTCAAGAACTGAAGTCAGGAGTGCTTCACGAACCTTGCTGTGGCAGTTGCTAATAAAATAGCCAACAGGGATTTGTTGGAGATTTTGTTGAACTGTTTTCATGAAAATCAGCTGCCTGAAACAGATAACGGGCCAGGCAGTGTTTAAAAGAATACAGTTTCCGTGTAATTATTTCAGGGCATAAGCTAGCCATGAGGGCGGCCGGGTGCCAGGGACGCAGCCCCACCGCCCTACCTATTACTACATACTAACATCAAACTCTGGCAATTATACTAACCTTTGTCACCCCTTAGACAAATATTTAAGAATAATTATATATGAACATACACAGAAATTTTGGCATAATAGCCAACTAACAAACTTTGTGGTACATTTTCCACTAATTGATAATATTCACCCATAAAAAACAAGTTATACATACATGTGAGAGAATGTTTTTATATTTGTATAATCTACATTTATACTGTACATCTATAATGCTTCTATTACCCATACACCCCGTATATATATGGATGCCCACTTTCTAAGATCTCTTTCGTGTCCTGTCACCTCTGTAAGGCCATTGAGCACAATGTCTACTCTGAAGCCGCAGGTTCAGTCACATCGGCTTCTGGGTTTAGCCAGTGTGTCAAGTCTAAGTTGGCAGATTTGAAATGTATTTTATAATACATCTTATCTGGGCCCTGCGTGTGTGACTATACGATTGCCTTTGTAGATGGCTGATTCAGAATATGCCTAGAGCAGAGAGAATTCGGAAAATATAAACTTGATTTCATCTTCTCATCAACACTCAAGAATCTGTGGAGCCACCGTTTCAGTGTGACTTTCCTTTCAGAGGCAGTAAACTGTGCAATGAGAATGATAAGAAAATCTTTCCTACTGGTGACTCTTAGCTATTCACTTTTAAATTAAGACTTGGCTGTTTTAAAATAGTTCCTTGGGAGTCGATATGTAGAGATTTTCATTTTCTCAGAACTGGTATGGTATAAAAATTAAGCCAGTCTAGGATTGTATTATTTTGTCTTTAGATTATTCAGACTTCAAGAGTATAAAGATTATTTTTATCTGCATTTTTCATTTATGGATGCCTGTACACAATGCACCCTATAGAACTAAGGACGAGAGAAAGAAGCTTGCCTTGTATTTCCTCCCACTATTGAGAAGGAGCTGTAAATTTTCCAGCCCCATATAAATTAATGTAATGTTTCCACACTGCAGTTTATTACAGCCTGACCTCCAACCCAGAGGTCAGAGAGTCACATTGATTCAGTCAATGTCCTGGTCATTATTTCAAATGGAAGTTCATGTAGGGGGATAATTGGTTATGCCGATATTCACATTTAATTATGTTTCATTCTTAGAGAATTAGGTGAGCCGTACTGAAGGCATGGCAATGAAGGCAGACTACCTGAGAGTGTCCTCTTCTGGTTCTTCAGAACTAAATCTTCCTCTCTCTTCTCTTCACAGAATCTCCACACCCTTGAGAACAGAATGCTAATGCTTGATGGGATGCCGGCCGTCAGAGTCAAAACAGAGCTGTTGGAATCTGAACAAGGGGTAAGCAGAGATCTCCATAGATGCCCCCCTCCTCCCCGTGCCTGGGCCATTCACTTCCAAAGCAGCATTCTCTCTCTGTCCCTCGCCTAAGGAATTGATTCTCACCCTCGTGCAACCTTAGACGTCAGCCTCCCCTTTGGAGGGGACATGTTCTGAAACTAGGACTTCTTGCTGACTTTAGGAGACACCTATGGCTGAGTTAAAATTGCTGTCGGAAAGCTACTGAGACCAAAGTAAGGAGAAAATGTTTAAAATGAGATGGGAATAGAATTCCTCCATGTGAAATTCTAAGTTAGGAGATGACTAAGAACAGGCACGGGAACATTACAATTGGTTAAACGGATTTTTTTGTTTTTGTATCTACCTCTCCACCCCATTGTTATAATTTTACTAGTTCTAGGAGATGGTTGGTAAAATTGGGACAGTTATTGTGAAAAGTACCCAAAAGCAAAAGGAACATGATTTAACAAATTATAGCTAAACTCATGAACGAATGTATGGATACAATAACAGAGTGTCTAAGAACACAGATTTTGTGGGAGGGTACATAGGCTATTACTGATAACATTTAAAGCTGCACTAATCAAAAACACAAATCCAGTATAACAATTACAGTGGTGTCCGACCATGGGATTTAAAGAAGAAATCACTGTTTCCCTGTGTACACGCTGGCTACATACCTTATAACATTGATACCACTGAAGCAGCACGAAAAGCTAACCAAAGAACAAAAATCAGTCCATATTCTGCCTTAGTAAAGTCTGTCCTAATATAAGAAATTAATATTAAACATCAGTAATTTTGTAGTTGAGGGATCTAAAGAAAATTTTAATGTCAATTAGCATCCCAGAAATATAGGATAGAAATCAGTGTGAGTAAGTCCATCTGGGATCCCCCTGGGTCTTAATGACTTCATGTTTCATTGTCTTTGTAATGGCTGCAGAGGCTATGGACCTGTAGTAGCCGCTGAGTTCTTTTCAGTTACTTCCACATTCCTTTGCATTTCCTGGCCGTCTGTGGCATCATAGCGTTATTTCTCCTTCTCAGCGCAAGCCTGTGTTTGAAACAGGTCTCTATTCCGGCAGAGGGTGTCTCTTCATCTTCATATCTGGCATTGATTTCTTTTAAGTCTGAAAGGAAATGTGTAGAGAATGTCCAACCCTTACAACCCCCGGTCTTTATGCTGGAATAAGGACTTCTCGATGCTGAGAGAATAGAGCATCGTTAGAGGAAAAGAAGACACAGTCGCCAGTGCTCGTAGACAGGCATTCATGTGCTCGTCTGTGCTTTCCACCCAGGCTCAATAGGCCAACCTTCCTGAATGGCCAACACGTGCAGTCAGCTCTAACCTTGATTAACTAACCTAACAGCAGGCAGGTGTTTCCCTGTTTCTTTAGCAGTCTGCCGTCTGAATTCATTTCATAAAATCTTAACTCTTGTCATGATCCTAGTGAAATTAATCTCTGTGTGATCCCTCCCTCTCATAATGCAGGTAAGAGAGTCTTTTCTTGCCGATAGGGGAGAACAGGGAAAACGGCAGTCTGCATTTTTCGGCGTCTCTTTTATCTCGCCAAACTTTCTTCAACATGAACAGCAATAAATCTATTGAAAGCGCACATGTAAGAGAAAGCAAAAACCTACAGAAACTCATAAGCCATGGTGTGGACCGGGGGTCATTGTCACCAGCCCAATAATCTATAACAATATCCAGGGACTTCAATCTACTTTTTGGTCATTTTTCACTTTCAAGGTAAGCTTTGCGTGAAAAGTGTAGGGGTTTTCAGGAAATGAAGGCCTGTATCCACAGAGTTTATAGTGAGGAGCAATTGCACATCACATGATTTATAGAAAATTCTGTTTGCCCTTAAATATGGGCAGAAAAAAAAAAACTTGTGGATTCCTTTAAAATCAATTTTCTTCTTTGTGAGTGGAGCTGATGTTGCTCCCCTAACACTAATTTAGACTGCACATGGTGGAGGGAAAGAAATATCACTTTTCTTTAGCCCTGTATGTATTTCTGAGCTGTATGGCTGGCATAATCCTCTTTTCTTCTTCTGGAGAAAGTCTCAAGAGAAACGGCCAATAGTGTTTAGTGACACGATTTTGACCGCAATACAATCCTTTGTACTACTTTAAATCTCCGCGGAAATAGATGAAATCAGCTGGGCGGTGGTGGGTCGTGCCTTTAATCCCAGCACTCAGGAGGCAGAGGCAGGTAGTTCTCAGTGAATTCAAGGCCAGCCTGGTCTACGGAGTGAGTTCCAGTCAAGACGCAGGGAGAAATCTTGTATCAAAACCAAACAAGCAAACAAGAAAAGAAATAAAATGTAAAATATTAGTGATTTTCATTTTTGAACACGTTACTGTATTTTTTTACCAGCTATCATGGGGGGAATTGCATGTATAGTGTATGATTTCTGAATCCCAGATATGTAAACAGAGACTGCTCTTTCGTTCCCAGCTGCCCAGACCCAAATACTCATACAGAAACTATATTAATTTACAGCATTATTTGGCCAATAACTTAGGCATATTGCTAGCTAGTTCTTACATCTTAAATTAACCCATTTTCTATTAATCTGTGTTATTATCATGAGACTGTGACCTACTGGTAAAGTTTCAGCGTCTGTCTCCTTTGGCAGCTAGATGATGTCTCTTTAACTCCACTTATTCTCCATATATATTTCTGTGAAGATTTCCCACCTGACTTACTTTGCCAAACCATTGGCCAAAACAGCTTTATTCATTAATCATAAAAGCAAAATGTATACAGAAGGACATCCACATCGCAGATATATATTCTGAGAAAGTTAGAATTTTGAAGATTTCCTAAATTTTCTTGATTAAAAGTCAGTTGACTTTTAATCATACAATATAAACATGCTAGAGAAATTTAAGTGAATGACTTCTTGCCCATGTGGTTATGGGGTCTTGAAAATGTCAACATTTCAACATTTATTACTTACTGAGAACAAACACTGAGGAAACTCTTCTATATGGTAGCAATGGATAAGGAAGCCTAAAGTTGGTACCTTCATCGAATTTTTAATTTCCTGTTCATGATTTTGGCCTCCCTTGTTCATATATTCCTTTGTCCCTCTCTTCAACTGGATTCCCAGAGCTCAGTCTCATGCTTGGCTGTGGATCTCTGCATCTGGCTCCATCTTTTACTGGATAAAGACTTTATGATGATAGTTGAAGTAGTCACCAATTGGATTACAGAGGAAGGCCAGTTGGACCAAGCTCATGGGAGCTCAGGAACTCTAGACCAGCAGCTGTAGAGCCTCCAAAGAACCCAACTAGGTCCTCTGCGTGTGTAACATGGTCTAGCTGAGGGACTCTGCAAGTAAGACTAGGATCTATCCTTGGTGCATGAACTAGCTTGCCAGAACTCATCCCCTATGTTGGGATGCTGTGCTCAGTCTTAATGCAGCAGGCTTGGTCGTGCCTCAACTTAATGGGCCCGGCTTTGTTGACTCCCTTACCCTTTGGGAGGAATGGGTGGGAAATGGGTGAGGGGTTAGAAGAGGTAGGCAGGAGGAGGGGTGGGAGGGAGAGCTCTGGTTGGAATATAAAATGAAATTTAAAAAAAAAAGTCATTTAAAAAAGATGCACATATCAGTTTTAAGTCTTTTAAGGAAGAAAATAGATTTTGTTTCATTTTGTTTTTCTCTAGGCAACATGTTAGAGACTCAGCATACACATTCTGCTTCATGTACCGTGGCTGGCTATCTTATTTCTCTCCTGTTGTTGCAAACAGTCCCTCAGGTGTGCTCCTGCTATTTGCTGGTCCCTGCCTGTCTCCCGTCCCTCCTGGGACTTGGTGAGCACATTTCAGGGGCCCAAAGGAAGATGTGGTGGATAACTGGGCTGTGGGAGACAGAGCGTGATTGGCAGGCCTGGTACCTGGCTGAATGAGCCCCTGAGATCATCATCTGACTCACCTTCGTGTCTTTGCATCTTACCTTCACAGAAAAGCAGTTTGATGGGTGTTTGACATTCAAAATGCTCTTTTCCTCTCTTCTTCTCCTTTTCAGACCTCAGAATATCAAATAACAAACTTGACTATGGTTAACTATTTCCCCTGGGAAGTTCTGTCTGCCATTCACTTAAAGAATTTTATGTGTAGTTTTTGAATGTGTTTTGGGGTCAGAATGGAAGCTCCTAGAGGGCAGGGGCTATTTCTTCTCTTTCCTTTTCATATCTCTTATTGTTTCCCAGTGCATGACATCTGCTCAATTAATATGTGATTTATCCTCTGCCTACATATTCTAGCCAGCATGTCATTTATCTATCGCCAGTCAACGGTTTGCTAGCCTTCTTTGTCTACTTCATATGGGTTAAGTGAACATTAACATGGAATTACAAATATTGGACACTCATAGTCTCATAAAGTAGCCGAGGTCTTTGTCTTGTAGCTGCGTGAACTGAATAGGAACAGCCACCTATAGGCACCAGCTCCCTCTGTTCTGAGTTCCCAGGCTCATTCTCATCCTTTCAGTGATGTTGACGATCAGCCCATCGTCCTGTGACGTCAGCTTCCCTCAAGCTTGCCCTGAGACAGGACGTGCTGCTGAGCGGTCTGTGGCAAGGGAGTGTGCTCTTCTGATGCACTTCAGGGGCACAGCCAGGAATGAGGGAATGACTTCGCCTGTCCGTGACCTTGGTGTGCACACCCTGCTGTTAGGAGAGCATTAGGGAAGCTCTCAGCCTTTTGGATGTTCTAACATGTTATTAAGCAAAGGAGGACATCAGGAAGAGAGTTCTAGAACTACCACGCTAGAGGGGAGGCTGAGTGCAGAGAAAGGGACTGCCTCAAAGACATAAAATGTGACTTTATTCCTGGCCCCGCAGTTTACCAGCCTGAGTGACTTTAAGCGGTTCCTTCTCATCTCTGGACTTGTCTGTCCTCATCTGTGTAGTAGGGGTACTGCAGGGGGGGGGGGAATCTCGCTTCCCAGGCTTCCTCTGATATCCTATGATCTGAGAAGGTCAAGGGG